CCCTTATGTGACGTCATTTTAGTGTATATTGACTGACTGAGAGACAACACACTACTGTTTATTGGTGCGAGTGGATAAAACGGGTGACTTGTCTTATAGCGTTGACCAAAATAGTATTATATCTATCTACATAAATCCGTATAGCATAGACGAAAACAACGTCAACGTGTCTTTAGTCGAGCCCATGAAAATCAAGAAGAATCGCCCACTACCAGCAAAAAAAAAGTATATAAAAAAACTTACGATTTATTCGTTTAGCCATACATTCATAAAAAAATGTTCATTTCAGAGTTCGTTATTTTACAACCAATTTCACGTCAAAATTTGGAAAGCAAATTAAAATATAAATCTCGAGGATCGCTCCAAGTTTAAAAAGTGACTTCTCACTATGAGAATCTTTTAAAGATTTGAAACCCGAACTATGTTTCGAACGGGTCATAGGTCATCAGACAAGTTATCCTAGTTTAAATTGTGCTAAGCAACCAATGAAATAAGACATCTTTTTCATTCATTTGTGACATAGAACTTGAAATCTAAGAGGCACGTATAAATGTCATTTTGTGAAATAGAAAAAAAAACTTGCGTAGGTTTATTATCATATCGAATCACACCTATTTATATTATTCATTGATTTATCTTATAATTCCTAAGGTAACCATTTCACCTATGACAAATGTTTTTTTGTTTTTTTATATATAATTCAACATTAACATCACATATATCAAACCAAAGTTATCTTTATTGTTTAAATTAGAAAAATGGGCTGGCCATACAGATTAAATATCGTGTTTTGTTTTGTTGTTTTCCGTGAGTGGCTAAAAGCTTAATGTTAGGTTTTATTTAGTTCCAGTTTCTGACAACTTTTTGTTTCGCCGTGGGACAACGGTAAGTTAACGGACTTCCAACGCTAAAATCCGGTAATCAATTCCTCGCAGTGGACACAGCAAATAGTCCACTGTGGCTTTGCTCTAACACAAACAAACAGAGAACCTGTTCAAAGTAATTTCATACCGTATTTTGTAACTAAAAAATTACTGTTACATTTTTATTTATTTTATTTTTTGTTATTCATACAGTGCAATTGTTTTGTTTTTAATCTATCTTCAAAGTTAGTGTATTGAATAATATTAGATTTGCTTTGCTTCTGAGTTAAATAAAGAGTTGATTGAAATTGTATTTAGAAGCTAAAATACTTACAGAGAGACAAAGTTCCACTTAAGTTTTTGTTACTTTAACTCTTTTGTTGATATATGA